GTGGTCATCATTAACTGATCCCTTTCGTCATACAGGCCAATATTTTGCATAATGCCAAGGTGGCATTGTTGAAGCTTTTTTGTAATATATTGTATGATGAATGAGCAGTACAGCAAATATAACGTGTTCTGCCATCCTTGGGACATGTTTTGGTCACATATAACTCAAGAAAGCTAAGTGCGCTTAGCACAGAGAATGAAGTGGTGTGCTTTTGGTCGGATCAAAACTTGCTCTGGACTGTGTTCTTCCCCTTGATCAGGATAATTGTCTTTCGGTTGATAGTACAGTGAAAAGGAAATGACAGAATTTTAAACCGGTCCGAACTTACAAGCCTCCTTGCCGCCTGAATCTTAAAATACTAATGAATATCCCTTAAAAACAATACGGCTCGGCCGTTTATCTGGGTGTCGACCTGGTGCTTATAATATTTTCGTGTTCGGGTGCAATCTACCTTGCTACCACTCGCAAAGGGGCTTCATCTCTCACTGAAAACACCAGCAGGTAATCGGCACATTTCACGCAAATATTCCTCTTTTTGAGCCTAATCGGAATGGAGAAGGCTGCTTGCACTCTATCTAAACGACCACGCAGAGTTGCTCTCTGCCGCAGGAAGGCTGTTAACATCTTCGAATGCAGTGGGGACAGCGTCAAAAAGCAAAGTGGTGAGGGTCGTAAATAAAGCTACATCTGTCGCCTGGTATCCACTACAGGGTAGTGAAACCACTAAAGGTCGGACTCTCACATCATTTGCCCTACCACAGGAAGTTATTACTTCGGGAAAAGGTGCTACTTTCAGTAAACTTGGTGGAAGAAAATCAGCGGCTAAGAGACAAAATTACTAAATTCATTCCCAAACCCCTGAAAGTTTGAATGTCCCCCACGTAAAACGAATGTAATGGGAGAACCAACCCCATTATCTCGTCCCTCCAAATGTCAACAGATTCACTTGGGGGTAAGAGAGTACGGTTTGAGAACCAAAAGTAGGCCGACTGTTGTCAGTCACCGGAACTTTTTCATCTTTCGATCAACTCTTTCCTCCAGGCAGCCGGGCACCATGGAACGAGCCCTCGTGCTTAAGAGTCTTCCTACGAACTTCGTGGAAGTAGCCTTGATGCCCTCCTTCTGTAACGCCCTCTGGGCATTGCCAATACTTGCAAAAGTTAGGTTGGACCGAAAATGACATTGCCAGGAGGAGAGGCGGACGGAAAGATACCATTGAAGGATGCGAGCAGTAACACCGCAATATTCGTAGATGGAATTGTGGAGTTACCGGTCGACCAAACCGCTACAGAGTGATACCCTCATGACACCGAACAATGGTGGCGAATTAAGAACAAAGTTAACTTTAACGACCTACCTGCACACTGTGTTAGCTAACCATCGGGACCAGTCCGCTTACAGTGCATCCCCGCCCGGAGACTACGCGTCACCCAATTAGACTCACATGCTTCAACCAAGGGAGCCCCACATTCACGGCAAAAAGTGAAACATCATGCTGGGGGCACAATACAGACGAACGAGAGTCAGCTAAGATTCGCCGAGTAAGAAAATAGGCGGCGACCTCCTAGGACTTTTGAGTCAGTGCCTTTCACGTGGATAAAAATTAGCGAGTCAAGTGAATTAAGTGATGAGAATTTTACTATCGTAGTCCCTCACTAAGTGAAATAGAGATTCCGGAAACATACTGATGCCAGATCAGTGAGAAGTGGCTAGCCAAGGGCATAACCCAACCCTATTAGCGCCAACCCTACAGAGGAACATGATCAGCTCTACTCCGGCACACCATGACATGTGTGGCAGTATTGGAGGACTGAGAGATAAAAGGGGAGCTGACTGCACTTCATGAACACCTGCTAGCTGACATCGTATTGGTAACAGCGTTCAAGCTCTCGCCGGACAACCCCTGCGGAACCATGAATGTATCGGACATAGAACACTTCCTCAGGACCAGACAACTCAGAGGGAGAAGCAGGATGGCTCTTTGCGTTAAAGCAAGAGCGGTGGGCGACACAGCTCCCGTCAACCAGCGGAACTCTGTGACGCCTACTTATCCCACATCAAACCAGATACCTGCTACGAGTCACATGTAGGTCCCCTACCGTTAATTCTGACAATAAGAAAATGGTCATCGCTGCAGTCTTCTTTACAACTTTTATGGATCACGACTCTTTAGTCCTCACTGGTGATTTCAACAGAATATCTGTTCTCGTTAAGACGGTAAAGGGGGATACTATCAGACTTCAGTCGCAAGATGGCCAGTGAACTTAAGCAAAGAAAGCCGATGATATTACATGTTGTGGGTTTAACAGTGATGCGTAACTCCTGGACTGTGTTCCGACGAATGAACATGTGTTCAACCGCCTCCTGTTGGCAGCCTCCATGAAGCAATAATATTCTCCGTGGCAACCGGGGCGTATGCTACTGTAACCAATGAACATGCCTTCTCGTTACGTCGAGGCTAAATATGAGACCATAAGAAATTACCTCCCCAGAGTTTTATGGTCCAAGGACTGGAACCGTTTCACATCAGATAAAAAGTGGACATAAGTAAGGGCAGTAATCCTGGGGCCATCCGTCAGCCTGCAAGCGGTAATGGACTGACCATCAATGAGAACCTAACGGCTAAAGCAAGAAACGAAGAGGCTACTTCAAATCGAAAAGCAGGTCGTGTTAAGCTGGTACCCACCACTTAGAAAGTTGGACTTCTCTATTTACAAAAGGATTCGTAGCCAATGAAATATAAAAGTTCACATTGACAGGTTTAAGCGCCTACCACTTCTGGCGAGAAGGTTGCAAAGTAAATCAAAGACGCGTCGCTTCTTGTCAACGAGGAAACCGACTACCATGGTGGTCGGTCTCACAGCAGGCCATAATGCAGACGTACTGAGCCGCCTGGAGGTAGCTGAGCTTCTAGACCTGCGCTCTGGGGTGCAACTTGGTACTTCCGTCACCAAATTTACATCGGCGTGAGACGATACTGAACAAACTGATAGAAATGAGTGTCTGTGTCACATCCCCATCACGGAATAAGTTGCCAGAGAAACTATCCAGGCTTTGTTCCAGCATGTCGCCAAGCTGTAAAAACTGAGACGAGAGACTGATTTCCTTGATTTCCACGCTCTCTAAAGTGCCGGAAAGTGTGATAGCAAATGAGATTCGGGAATTCTTCAGAAGGAAAAACACCTTTCGTGATTTTCAAGACGACCTTAGGGTGATCACTCATGTGCCACTGACTTTCCGACTGTCCGAGATGACCACTTTTGGGACAACAGTGAACCGGTTCACATCATTTTCCACAACTTAGCAAAGACATTTGACGGGATTCTGCATGAAATCCTGATCTACTAAATTGCCTTGACGGATGTCACTGAACGTCTGCTTTCTTGGTTCAAAGTGCATTGAGAAGGCAGACGGTTCTGCAGAAAGGTAAAGAAAATGCAATCCAAGCGGAAAGTGCCAACTTGGGGTATCCCAGGAAGTAATCGTGCGCCCATTCCACCCTTGGGGTTTGTCAACGATCTCCCACAGGAAGTCTCCCCACCAGTCCTTGTTTAATTAGCAACATTAACATCTTGGGAGTGGTAACCAAGGAGGCTGATTGTGAAGTACTCCTGCAGTGACTGGAACCCTCGTCTTCAAAGGACTACTCGAACTTCAACCCTGAAAAGTACGAAGCAATGCACAACGGGACCCACGGAGCAAGTACGACGGGATATGAGTGCAAGCTGAGCGGCCATGTCATCACCAAAATGCCTACTGAAAAAGGTCTAATGCTCAACATCAACTCCCTAAACACCAGCTCTTAGTTTGGAGGAATAGCGGTGAAAGAGAATGCGACTTCATAACATCTGAACAGGCAGGTTGGTGCTCTCACTCCAGGACTGTTTCCAAGTATGACGGACCGCATCTGAAAGTGCTGAATAAAGTAGCACTCCTAGGATTCAAAGGAGGCCCCAATATCCCTGAGAAAGTGAAAGGATCTGAGATAAAGGCGGTTGTCGGACCAAGGGGAGAGACATTCCCTGAGAGACCGAGGCAATTACATCCACCTATTTTGGGCTATCACAGAAAGAAGAGTGATCTGAGCGTGGCTCACCAGCCGATCCATCAAATCAGTCATGGGAACAAACCGTACTCATCTGCAACACGGTGGTCATCACGAGGGAGCCTCATTTGAATAGCACATCAGATGGCCTACACTAGGTGTGGGCTAAACTTCCTTTCCTTAAGAACGTGTCTCATGGCATGCTTTGCCTCGGAACTTAGCTATAGCTGCTCAAAAACGGTTAGACAGCCATGACTGGTTGTATAACTTGGTAGCAATATTCTTATAGCACTGGCGACATCGTTATTACACCACCGCTTCTCTTCTTATGTGCTACTTGCCATCTGTTTGTCTTATTTTGTCGCTTTATCCTCAAACTCTTCTATCTAGCTTTGTTTTTGAGGAACGTCCCATTTACGCTTTAACACAACTCTGCTATCCCTATTTAGGCACTAATGTAGACACGAGTCACAAAAGACCCCAACTAATCAATGCAACCCCTATCTTCTGATATAACTTAGTCTAAAAACCCTCAAAATAAAGACTCATCGCTTCAGAGCTGAAGAGATGTGGTTTCCAGGCGCAATGCAGGAGCGAAAACTAAAATTAAGAAACAAGACCCAAAAATTGGACTTGAGAGCTAAAATCATTTAATTTCCTACTCTCACATTATTGATATTTGATGCCGGATCAGAGTAGCTTTAAAATTAGAATAAAACTGAAAACCAATGTCTATGTATGATGATTATGTGTAATTTTACTAATCCATGTCTTGATTGTTTTGATGCATGGGAACTAATGTAGCGCAGATTCTTCCTGTCCACAACCGTTTGAAACATTGAAGATGATAGTACACTTCATACATCTTGTTTGAATCCGCTCTCAAGCTTGTCTTTGGATTTCTTGTTTGGGTCGTGGTTTTTTGTCACTGAAATCTGTTCCTTTCGATAGCTTCATGTTTCCCAGCAGACCACCTGTGAGTTTTTCTCCATATAGTATTTGCTTATGTTTGACTTTCTTATCTTACACGAATCCTTTTTAGGTGCCCTCTGGGCCAGGCGGTTCGTGCAAGTTCACTGTAGTAGAAACTTGTGACAGAATAAAGGAAGAGTTCACTTGTATGCAACAGCAGAATCATTCGTATGGATCTCTATTTTCATAATCATCTTTTAGTTTGCAACTTGAGAGAGAAAAGATTCTCAATGAACGGTCAGATATGCAGAGGATTTGTGTTATGTATTATGAAATGGCCAATGGTTTAAATTTGGAAATGCACAGACAAGTACTTCCTTGTGTTCTTTACAACTTTTGCTAGATGGAGATTGCGAAAAGGCTAAGTGCTATTCTGACTCAGGTGCTGCCGTTTCTGTCTCAAGAGGTAAGTTTATCTTAAGTAACGAATTCTCGTAGCATCAGTCCCAAGTTCTATCAGCCATCGAAAGGGCTAAACAGGTCACAATGCAAGAACTAAACTCCGTTTTAGCTGTACGTATCTAAGTGTTCGTATTTGACTTCTTATTTAGGCACAAATAGAGGATGTGAAGTCCTCAAGTTTTTCAATGGCAATAACATGGGTCTCCCACTAGAACAGTTTGAAGCCTATAAGGTAATGCTAATCACACTCAACATAAATTTTTAGCAACTATCCGTTATTGGAGGTGCTAATTCAGGGGTTTCAGGTTTACACGGCTCAAATTTGTCAAGTCACTCTGCTGGTAATACTTCGTGTAGCACTCCAGGATCTCTCCAATCTGCATCAGTTAACGCACAAACATCCAACCTACTCCCTTCACTTTCCCCATCTGGCAATCCCTCAGTATCAGCAGCGCTGTTCAACGGTTTGATGTCCGCTGCCGGTGCATCTGTAGGGCCGGGAGCTCTAATGCTCCAGTCTTCTGGGTCAAGAATTTCTCCCTTAGGACGAGAGGCTGAAAAGTTGATGACTAATGAAGAAAAACAAGTAAGTTCATTTTCTATTGATAATAGCGTGCCTTTTTCGTTTTACATCGTTGCTGATGTCCTGGCATACTTTTGACTGGCTGACGAAATCAACGTAGAACCTCACAGATACATGGGTTGAAATTGCCACACTTCACAGTAATACACAAGGAACAAGTGGATAAAAAAGTGATATCGCAGTAGATAAACTATTGTGAGGGAATAAACATCTGAAGATAAAGGTTAGTGCGAATATTCAAGCCTTAGGTGTTAAGGAGCGAATACATTGCGCCGATTTGGCCGGTTTTCAGCCATGTCACTCAGTGTCCTCAGGCACTGATTCCTTACGTCTCAGATACTCCAAGCAGGTGGTCTGTGTCTCACCACCCGTCCGCACTTCTTGATATCATATAAATTACTAACCTGAAGTAGTTGCGTCACAGCCAGTATTATTAGGGACCGCTTTCATTGCAGGAATTAGTTTAGCAAGATAGTGTATTTTCAGCATGATGCTTGTGAAGTACCTTTCCATCTGATCCTCTGTGAGTGAAAGTAATGGTACTTAATATCAACACGAACTGGATGCATTTATGAAGGTATTAGCGAGATTTATCAATCACTCAAGAGGTAGGGTTACTTGCGAATGATCCCAAAAAACTTAATATTGAAGATGAACGAATGCATGACAGTACAAAATTGATTTCAATGGCTTAGGCATAACTACACTTACATCTTGTCTGTAGTTCATACTTCATTGTCTTCTTTGATCCCTCTCCTAGTTTTGAGGCTTTTGGTGACACCCTAATGTATTTTATTTACCTGTCTTGTTGCTTCTTATCGTGATATGTTGCAACCTTGAACTGAACACTACTGGATTTTATCTTGATACTGAATTGCTGGTTGAGCTATCTCCCCCTATCCCGAAAGGTGAACGGCTACTAAGTTATCAAAATAGAAGACTGTGACTGGGCGGGATATATGGGGGATGGTTCAATCACGTTTGATTTACCGGTTAGTCGTCTCATTTAACTATCGTTTACGACACCCTGTCATGCATAGGTTATCCTTAGTTGTAGCGAACGAGAGGTTTATATGCTTGTGCTCAGAAATTTATGCTTTCAAAGGGCTGAAGTGTAAAGGAGATACACTCATTACTCGAAACCTACAGATTAAGTTACACATGTCTGATTCAGTGGTTCGTTATACTATCATTATTTGTTACATGGGTTCCTAGTGGAGCATAGGGCTTCAGTAGCACGCCTCCATTGCGCTCTCTTCTCTGCAGTCTTTTCAACCTGGCTCCACGACTGCCCACAGGCTTTCGTTCCCTCCTCCATGTCATCCTGGGACGCCCAACTCGTTTCCCTTTTGGGTTCCACTTGAGGGCCTGGCATGTGATGTCTCCAATCGGCCTTCTCAGTGTATGCCCAGTCCAATCCATCTCTACTTTCTTCATCTGCATATTTGTTGGGCGGTGACTTCTCGCCTCGTTGGTTCGTTGCTGGCTAGCCAGCCAGCCAGAGCTCCTTGTTGCTTATTCTTTCTAGCCATCTCATCTCATCTTCACCATCAAGTGAGTGAGCGTAGGCAGCAGCTGTTGATTTATATCTGTAGTTTGTTGGAAGTGCTTTTCGTCACGCACCAAGTCTCTCAACCATCACATAAAATCACTGACTTGACTGAATTAGTGTTGAAAATTAGGATGTTGTTCACGCTTTGTGCTGAGTGCAGTGCAGTAGATCTCCACACTGGTTTCAGGTTAATGAGTGAAGGCCTGTCTTGCTGTATTTGCGATCCTGGCTGCTTTGACATCGTCATCTGTGCCTGTGCGACCGCCTGTAGTTGAAACGATGCTGTCTAGGTGTGTGGGTAGGTGGAAGAGACTACTTCGTTTAGCTTCCTCCCGTTCATGGTGATTGGTACTTGTTGTTGATGTTGCTGTTGGATGGGTATCTTCATCACCTCTGTCTTCTCTACGTTCACCTGAAGGAAGTCGCGAATTCCTTCTCCACCCTACCTCACCTCTTCTGTCAACTTGTTGGTTTTCACCTGTACATCGTCGAGTTTGTGCCTCAAGACATTAGACATAAATCATCATCATCGGCGAAATCCAACTCTTCTAGTGTCTTTTTATCGGTCGAACAACTTATGTCCATCTTCTCATAGCTACTCACGGTTTGCTGCCTAATCCAGTCGAGTCGAGTCGACCACAGTCAGGAGGATGATCAGTGATAGGTGGCAACCTTGTCTTACTCCTTACTGTCTTCACTTCAAAGGCATCACTGAGGTGAGCTTTTCATTGTAAATCACTAGGCTGGTAGCATCATACAGCATATAGCTGTTGAACGAGGTTTATAAATGTTTGTGGCAGTAAAGTTGTAGTGTTGAAGCAACTAACTGCCAAATTACTTCTCGCTCGACGTTGTCGGAGGTCTTTTCAAAATCTATGAAGTTGAGGTAAAGACCCAGTTGACTGCCATTCTACTCTCTGTTGTATGATGATGGGCATACCGTAGCGTTGCAATTTGATCCGCACGTGATTTGTTCTTTCCGCAACCAGTCGGCCAGCCAGCCTGTTCTGGTCGTAATTTTGAATCGGGAGCGTGTTTTAGTCTCTCCAGGATGATGCAGCCTAATGTTTTACTTGGGGTGGACAGAGGTGGGGCACGGTTCCGCGCCAGTTCTTGCAAAGACTTAGGTGTCCCTTCTTTGGTAGTTTGACAAGGTAGCCCTTCTTCCAGTCGGCTGGTGCCTTTCTTCCCTTCCAAACCTGCAATAGTAGTGTGGTGTGAGCATGCTCGCTGTTGTCTCTGGGTCCGTTTTCAGCGCTTCTGGCGAAATTCCATCTGGTCCTACTGCTCTCCAGAATCTCAGCAGTTTCGTGGCATTCAGGACTTCTGCTTTTGTCGGAGGGCTTGTGTTCAGTTGTAGTTCTGTCGTTGCTGGTGGTATTTCTGGACATGTTGTAGGTGGTGATGGTGATCGATTCAAGAGATTTTGAATTGGTCAGCCCATCGTCTCCTTGTCCTTTAGTTCTCCTGTTTGGCGGTAACTAGGTCTCCTTCACTATCATTCATTGGTTTCATCTGAGTTGACCTCTTCCCAGATAGTATTTAGGTTATTTGATAAAGTGTTGTCAGGTGTCTGTCTCTCCTACGTGCAGCCTGTTCTGCTTCATTTGCCAGTGCATCATAGGAGTGTCTTTTGTCTTTGTGGGCACTCTTCTTCACTCCTTTGTCCAGTGTTTTGTAGATTGTGTTCAGTTCCTCTTTTCGTTGTTCATCTTTGCACTGCACTGCACTGCACTGCACTGGTTCATCTTCTGCTTCACCATCACCTTCACCACCTTACTCTCCTCCCTCCTCCATCAGTTTCCATGTATCCATGGAGATGCATTCATTGTCTTGCCTCTTCTTCTTGCTTCCTGACACGACTATGCAGGTTTCCTTCCACATCTATTTCAAAGAGTTCTAATGTTCTTCCACACAGGTTTCTTCAAGGATGTTGCTCGATATCTCCCATTTTGTCTTGATGGCTGACGTGGAGATGTCCCTTGTAGTTTCATCCTTCAGTTTCTGTTCTGGGTGTTCAACTTGAACTGTGGTCCATCACCAGCTTCTCTGAAGGCTTTCAACTTGATTTGAAGCTAGGTTCCTTGCACTAGATAGTGAGTGGTTTAAACCCCCTGCATCTATTCCCCTTCTTGATCTGATCTTGTGTCCAGTAGGCTGCTGCGTCTCCACATTCTCGAGATTGAGGTGAAGTCGATCTGATTTTTAGTGTGTATGATATCCTTGTGCTTGTACACACTGCCTCACCTCCGATCACTGAGTCGTTGAATGCGCAGAAGTCTGAGGACAGTTCTGAATTCTCGTTGATCACTTCACCGAGTGCTTCTCTACCCATGATGATGAGTTCTCTTCCTGAGTTGTCTGCTCCGAGTTTGGCATTCACGTCATCACACCTATTAGAATTTTGATGTGGCCAACTGGGGTGGGGTCTTGTCCAGTACTGATTGCAGTTGTCTGAAGAATTCCTCTTTTTCTCTTGACCTGAATTATTTGTAGGTGCGCGTAGCGTAGCACTGTATGACTGTGACTTTCCCTCCTTTTGAGTTGAATGTTGCTGTCATGATCCTGATCCTGATCCTGCAGGAGGAGGAGGAGATTGGTTTCTACTGCATGGGAGAGAGCCTTTGATACCCTTGGGAGTGTGACATGATGATAGGCACTCGAAAACTCAGTGTGCTCGTGGTTGTCGTCTGAATGACCATATCGGAGTAGACTATTGACTGTCCAGTTGAGAGTTTGGAGAGTCGACTTCCATTCCATCTGCAGATTCACCACAGATTCCTAGCACTTCTATGCCTTGCCTTCTCATGTCTTTTGCAATGTGGACAGCCTTGCCATCTAGGTTCATACATGGTGCAGATATTCCATGTCCCCATGTTTACTTTCACTTTGGTCGAGGGAGAGAGAGAAGACACATCGGCCAATTGGCTTTCCGAAGGCTTCCACCAACAGGGATCATTTCGTCTCCTCGATTCCAGTAAAGAATAAGTTTTTTTTCTTTTTCTACTTTTCATATTTTCTCTGTGCTTTGGAGTTTCTTTAGCGATTGGACTTGTTTTCCGGGGTTAGGGTTGCTAGGCGTATGTCGAACCTTCCCTCTTTATGCGGGCTTAGGACTGGCTAATAACTAATGCACTAGTTAACTAGGCGAGGTTACGTGGTTCATAGCAACTTAATAATACTAGTAATGATAGGTGGTACTCAGACAAAACATTGTTATAAAAGCAGATATAGGAAATGTGGCAGTCATTATGAAGAGAATAGATTATAAGAAGGCAAGTGAACACTTCCGAAGGACCATGCTCTTTAGTTGGTAAAGAAACATCCGCTGAACTGAACAGAATTAGACCCAACACTAATAGACTACTAAAACTGAAACCCAAAATCTGCATCTGAGCTCATTTCAAATTCAAACATAAGTCTCACATGTGTTCAAGTTTCTCCCATTGAGACCAATTGTATGTCTCACCAACATGCAGTCTCTTTTAATATCTCTCCCCAATACTAAAACCCATACAAAACCACTCAAAATAAACAATATGAGACTCTTAACTTCAAATCCAAAATTTCTCAAAGTTGAGGAAGATTTGCAATTGTGGTTAACTACGACATCGTTTCCTTGTATCTGGTATTCTAATTAGTGATTGCCTATTTATTTCTAATTTATTAGACTCCTGCTCCACATTGACAAAAAGATATCCAGTGAATACCAGTGACATCAAGACCCTAAAATTTTGCTGAGGGACTACTTCATGCTTCAAGAAAAACTATACAGGCAAACTAATGGTTTTGCCGTGGGATCATGTGTTTCACGCATGGTAGCTAACCTACTTATGCGTAAATTCGAAGAAAGTGTCTTCACTCACTTACTAAAGCCAAACATTTGGCTGAGGTATGTTGGTGACATTCGAATTTTAGTTCAGCTGATCTCTAGGTCACTCTTTATTAAGTTCAATTTAGGAAAAAACGGATAATAGTGAACTGCAGTTCATTGGTTGTGTTGTTAAGCGAAAAGAAAATAAGCATTTAGATATAACCATTTTCAGGAAAGCAATGCATTCAGTCCATCACATCCAGTTAGTGATGTTTCTGTTACCTTTATAACGGATGAAAATGAGAGTTAAGGAATTAAAATATGTCAACAAGGCATTTAAAATGAATAATTATCCGGCGATTTCATTCACAAAATAGTAAATAACATTAATTTAGGTCGTAAAACTCAGTAGTTATTCCATACAAATCACACATCAGATACAATTGAAGGAGTGCTCAACCAATGCAATATCAGAGTGTTCCACGAAACATCAAACATATTGAGGAGGACCTTGGTTCATTTGAAGGACGAGATCCCTCTGGATCCACAATCTATGTTTATCGAATAAAATTCTCAGACTGCGATGCAGTATAAGTAGGCCACACCTCACATGGAATCAAAATTAGGAAAGATAAACATTGAAGATCTCCCACCCGACCCCCTAGAAATCCAATGGAACTAAAAACAATTCAGCTATAGCTCTGCACGCTATAATTTCAGGTCACAAGGTTGACTTTGACAATATCAAAATTGTTCGAAAAGGAATCATGAAGAACATCATAGTGGAATCGACACAAAGTGGGACCTAAATTGTCTAAATAGTAATGAGGGAATAAGACGTTTAATTCTGGTCTTAACCCGCACCCACATACTAAGATAGTTTATATACATGAGATAAGAACCATCAACACAAGTACATGCAGATCTCATGTAATTCGTACGCTCTCCACACACCACTACATATGGTTATCTTTGTCCAACAATTTGAGGACACAAAATCATTCATTCAGAAGAACACTTATCAAGTTATATATGAACTTGGATGTCGTAAATTCCGGTTTACTATGACCTTAATAAAGCTATTAGCATTAAATAGCGAAACATCAGTTAAATAAAAGTACCCCAATATTGGTTATTATTTGCCCAGTGCCCAAATTTCTTCAGATGATCAAATCTCAACTTCGTCTGAGTATCTATAAATTGAAATAATGGGCTAAATACCCCAAGTTCTGCAAGTTGAAATTGTTTCAGACAATTCGACACTAAGTTAATTTCTAACATTTCTATAAATGTCTCCAACCTTCAAGAACAACAGAAAAGTTTGAAGCCTATAGTTATAACTTCGCGCACTTACATTTACGCAGTTTCTCAAAGATATTATTTAGTATAAGACCATTTCCTATCGAGTTTGTAATATGTACAAAGTTTATGGGTTCGATTAAATTTGGATAGATTAAAGGCTCTGTCATTTGTTTAATCGTAATCTGAACCTAGGTAATTCATCAAAAAAGCTCTTTAGAACCTCTTGGTTCGGTAAGGATACCTGGGTCGTATTGTTAGCACAAAGTAGGTCTAGCTCAAGCCTTCAAAAACTACCTATGAGTTCCTTTGTTTCTGAAATCTTGATGAATGTTCGGTATCACTTGCGTAGTCGTCTGTGGTCCCTACTGAGTATGTAGTGATAGCACTTCTCAGTTGCCTAGACGGATGAACAGGCTATCTGCGGTCTGCGACCTAACGAGTAACTGAATCCCTAAACTGTCACAAATATTTCTCTACGAAGTAAGGTTGTGTCAGTCTACATCGGGGTATACGTGAGTAGTGGATGTCAATCTCATCTAGCCATTCTTTTCTCTTGGCCACTTCTATCTGCACCGTAGCAGTCCTAAGATCTATCGTCATGACAGTAACATTCAAAAATGCCTGGTTGAAGTTTCCGCTTACGCTGACATTTCTTGATCAAATATACGTAGTGATTAAAGAAAATACTTTCATGTTCCATCAATTATCCTAAATGTTTTAAATTTTCATAGTAAATAAAACCTTGCTTCTGTATATGATTGTAGCTTAATAATGAGGTTGACAAAACATTCGATTATAAATCATTGATGCAATCCAAAGCTATATTGAAAAGTGGTTACTGTAGTCCAGCGCTAAGGCGGTTTTTAATAGCGAAACAGTATGAAAATACTGAAAGAGGTATCCATAATAAATACTAATGCTCCCGCCGTTGACATCACCTTCATCACAAGCATAATCAGCTGAGATGAAAAGTAAAAGAACAGTGGTACACATAGCAGATACTATTCAATTAGCATCGAGTTTGGTCAACTCAGCAGTCACTTGATGTAGATCCTCCACCCATTTCACGAGTAAAGAAGTGGTTTCGGGATTCAGGATGATCTAATGGGACCTATATATATATATATATATATATGATTCGATCCCGTTAAATCACCTTGAATTCTAAAACCACTTCTTTACTCATAAAATAGATGAAGGATTTACATCAAGTTATATCTTAATAGAGCCTATCTTTGAAATTACTTGATCTAGAAAGTCATTTTAGTCACGGTTTCATGATTTGAAATCTCACTTTTCGTATTTTGCCTACTCTTCAAAGATATTTCTTTCGTAAACTTTCGTCTTGACTACAAAGTGAGAGTAAGCGGAATTGCTGTGGTCCAAGTAAGTGACACTCATTAGGCACGTTTTGTTGGATCGCAACTTCTACGCCATTCTCATTGCTGGAATTTTGTTCTGCAACTGCATACTTGTTGCAAATTAGAAATAGGGTGGGACATGCAAGACCCGGTTCGCATTTGTCATTTCAGACAGTTGCTGTTAATCGCGTGGAAAAATTCGTGGTCGGGGTAAGACTGTTAAAAGGGATGAATTATTCTTCACTTAAAGGCTGGGCACAACACCCCGAAAATCACGCATTTCTAAGAGGAGTAATGTGCGGAGAAATGAGTAAAATGAAATGTACGTAGAAAACAAATTAAGATTATAGCCCACGCAAAACTTAGATCATGTTTCCGCTTCTGGGATTATGGAGTTAAATAAATACCTCCCGATTATCTCATCATGGTAATCCGCTTGGGTACCCTAATTATCGTCTGATTTTACAGTTACTTATGCAATAGTTTGTTGTCTAACTTTCGTCCCGAAACCTTCACAAGATAGACTTTTTCGTGTGACTAAGTAATTCACGTTCAACTGATGTTATTGTGTTTATTTGCTAATTTTGCCCATACAGCGTGCTGCTACTGCTGCCGCCGCTGCAGCAGCAGGTAGTTTTCTGCTATCTAACCGTTCATCTGGCAACGGTCCGTGTTTAGTTCCTCCACCCCCAAACCCGATCACTGGTCTGTTAGGTGGTTGTGGTGATTTCCCTGGTTTCCCAGGCGCATTTCCACTTAGTGCAGGTTTGGGGGGTACAGATATTGGTAGACCGCCTTCATCGATCCCACCTATATCACAGCAACCCTGTCGAAGTTCATCCACAGATGATGCTGGGGGAGTTGGAAGCCGACAGAACAATTCGAGCGGAATGCAACTAGGATCTAATTTCCCCGGCCTTCCTCATTCTGGTTTATCTGCACTAGCCAACCCTCTATTGCTTCCTCCACCTACAACTCCAACTACACCTGGTGGGAATTCCGGCCACAGTAACTCAGCCTCAATAAGTGGTTCAGTTGCAGATGAAAAAAGGCGCAAGCTTAACGACCCCAAGGTAAGCTGTTCTGATATATGCGGACCTAACAGTTTGATGTCTACCTACAGTATCTGAGGTGTATAAATTAGCTGTTGCAGTTCTGTTTCTTATGTTTACTCTGTTGTGTATGTTTCCGTATATTTTATAGTGTTTTAGTGCGTAATAAAGCATGCGTGTTTGACCTGAGACTTCAGTTTTGGTTAGCGAAGCCTGTCTGGTTTAAGTGCAGTTTCCAAGGCATTGAGATGCTATTTCGTGAATTCAAATCGTCATCATAGGCTGCCGAATTAGAAGAAATTAAAAATGACATAAGATTATTAATGGAGAGACGTTAAGAGATAGCAAATAACGATGTGGAGCACCAATGGTGATCAGAAGTATATTGGGTTCTTTACAGAAGTATGTGGGTTGTTTGTCACCGCAGAGGGGTACTTCCTCTTGAGTTACTTGAAAAAAGAAGTCAACTTTTTAAGTAGAGTTTCAATGACCTGGGAATATGACGATAGAATCTATGAAACATCTATTGGTCAGTCACATACTACTTTCCGGGAAGTTTTCGACTCAGAATCGTTCGCATTACGTCTATACCAGAAAAATCTATGCTGCTGGTAATGAAAGACTACAAGAAAGGCCTGTGTTCTACTCTTAGAACCAACCTTTTCTAACTCCTCTTTTCGGTAATGGAACATAGCATCAGCATCGAATGCCGTTTGCCTGCAGGAAACATCTTACTACTGTTACACCTTGTACGGTGTGCAGTATGACTTAGCGAAGCTATGGTTTAATGGTTTGGGAAGATGACTAACAACCAGTGAATCATGTGTTCGAGTCCTGCTCCGCCTACCAATGTTTGAGCGGCAAGATAATACCACTAGCCCTCACAACTGGTGTGGCACATAGCCTACTGCACGTATATACACAAGGTGGCTGAGTGAGTTTCGTTTCGTGGTACGATTTCGCTCTCTGATCCTTGTCATGACGTGAGCTGTTTTCACTATACTGGTAACAGCTTTTAGTCTAATCGCTTTCCAGCAGACTTTTCTGACGTGGTAGGACCTCAAGAAAAATTTGTTTTGACGAGCTTAGTTTTTTGGCATAGGCAAGCCCAACCGAGTAATGGTCGTAGCTACCGGTTGAGATTTAAGCTTATTGGAGTGGTCAGTGTGGAAAATTCAGCTATCACCAAGAGAGTGGGCGAATGTAAGTTAGTAGTTCACTAACAAGGAGGGCTATTAAAATAATGCACTCAACGCTGCGGAACAATTTAACTAACCTACAGCTAGTCTCAAGTTACCCATTATCCAAGTGTGGTCCGAAGGAAATGTTACGACCACCTACAACCCCACCAAAGTTACGAAAGTTAAAACTAAGACTAGCATTAGAGGTATTTGGTGGTGGTGACCCAGAATTACTTCTCAAACTGAGGTATTAGCTAGGTAACTGAAGTCAAACGCGATCTAGTTTGCTTGGTGTCAGTCATTAGTCGTTAGTCTTCAAGAAAGAAGTATAGTACTCTTCTGATAATCGCAGCGGAATTAGCTTGATCTACATAGTATCTAAATTCTAGGTATTATGTGAACATCTGGTACTTAAAATGGTAGGAAAGGCAAATAAGATGTGATCATGAATGCATCGACCAGATCGTGGGAAACAGGTGTATATATACCGGCACTTATATTTCCTGACCTGAAGCTGCTGTTTAACCTCGTCGATCAAGAGATCTTGTATAAATGTCTCACTGAAAGGAACGTTTGACAAGTACGTCATCCGACTGAAGACTATGGTCGATCATCGTGAAATAAAGTACCGAAATATGCTCAGAAACCATCTACTTGTTTGTACAGTAGGCAATGAGCCACATCTGCGTGAGTGGCAATAAGACTACCTGGCTCTCCATACCTCGGTAGGTGGAGTGGGTTTAAACTCTTGACCTCATTAGTTAAAAATTGAATGCCCAAACCAGCGAGCCACAGCTCCAACCTTTATGGTCGTATAAGAGCCTATGGTGAGCTATCAAGTTAGTTATCTGCATTGATTGATTTTTGTCCAGGATGCTCACTTTCATTCTTATGTTTATCATATATTTTGTGTATCTAAAGGTTACTTTCTTGATAAAAATTGACATTTTAACCAAAGATCCCTCAATGTAAACATGCGATACAGTTCTTTCGGGTAAAGATAGTAGAAAGATGCAGTCTTTTGAACATACTGAGCAGTAATTTAATACTTCGGCTGCATTTCCCACATGAATCCAATTTGTTGTCTCTGGACTGGTTTGTAACTATACCCTCTTCTAATAGAAATTGCTGGGGTTAAGCACGTTTACCATTTAAACTAACTAGAACGTTGTAGCAACTTTTATTAGTGACCGACCGAATTTCATCATACACCGAAGATTAGTTTGATTTTTGTCAACTTATTCACCATGGCCCCAGCAATATTTCCAATTGCCTACTAATTATCGAGTGTCCTGCACAGTATATCTCTGTTTCCTACTGTATGACTGTAAAGCAACCATTAGGTGGAGTGGAAGACTTCAGGCTGTTGTTACTTTCGTAGCATCACTGGTATGTAGTTTAGTCACCATGTGAGCAATGGGCTGTTTAAGTGTAAACTTTTAGGCATGTTTGGTTAGTGAGGTTGTCGGTTATCAACCGATTGGACTGGTGAAAATGTACGCTTACCGAAGTATGGCCTACTCTAGCGCTATTTTTGCTGCGGTTGAACTAGGTTAAGAGGAACCTAAAGTTTTAATGGACCAAAACAATGTCACCAGTCCATGATGCTTCTGACTGTTGATTTGAGCCGTGTACGGAAATGTGGGCTACTGATGCAGTTTTGTGGGATGATCATGGTCAGTAGTTAGACATGACGATATGGTTTAGAATCGATCGCAGTAGTGCAGATGCTTTCCTGCCTTATTTTTAAGTTATGATGTCACGTATCTTTCCCCTCGTTTCATGACATTGTACTGGTCGTGGTAGCATAGTATTCACTTGTCTTCAATTTTTATTTTCATATTGATGTGCTAGTAGTAGAGTGAAAACTGGAACCCTTGCGTTTTTATCTCAGGTCTTACGTTGTTCATGCTTCACATCCTCACAATCGGACAGTCAGTCACTGTGTAGAATATTCACTGTTCGACAGGCATTTGGAAGTCTAGCCAGCGCCAGATATAGTGTAGATAGATGAATACCAAACAGGCATTTTGGATGTGTGTTGAGTTTTCGTTAACAACTTGTCAATTAGGACTGACACTTTTCCAAATAAGTGGAGTAGCCAGCCAATACACTCCACCAAGTCAGACCTTTACACTTGAGTTCAAACGTATGTCAAACATATTCAGATTTTCCTCAGAACCCTTGAGAAATCTCTCATTCTGTTAGTGTCTACATGTAATAGGATTATTTCGTCTTAACTGACCAAAGTTTCTGTGAGTTGAGAGATCTTGTCGGAATTGTCCAGGGCTACCGAAGCCACGTCCATCAGTATGTCCATCACAGTCTTGGACAGGCATGATGGCAGCACATCACTAATTATCATCACCTTAAACAAAAACCAGTCGCAGAACTTTACACATTGAATTGAAACAGAAATCATTTAGTAACAGCGTATTTAGCACTTCCTTCACTGTCAGACGTCGTCACAAGACCTCTAATTTGATGGAATTAAATCCCACTTCCAAGTCAAGAAATATATCCAGGATGGAACACAAACGAGTTAAGAGAAGTCCACTCAACTACCTTGTGCGCATTTATGCAGTAAATAATCAGTCGTTTCTATTATGTGAGTGTTGATGATACTACAACGCTACCGAAACCTCGGTAGATGAAACAGTGTTCGAGCTCGTTACCCACTGATCGAAAGTCAGCTCCCTAAACCAATGAACCACAGCATATTATATATATATATATATATATATATATATATATATATATATATATATATATATATATATATATATATAAATGTTTAGGTGGTAAGCAACTGAAGCGTGAGTCACCGAAGCTGTTTCCAGCACTCCTCTTGAAGTCTCAGATGCCGCATCCTCAGGACCTACCAAATACTATTTTTACTCAGAGATCGCATTACTTGGCCGGATCTGTAATTGATCTAAGTATGTACCAGAAGTTAACTGGTGCCGGTTGTCCCCATCTCTCACTTTTGTCACAGGTCACATGTGAAACTCCCTAATCCAATCCTAGACTAGGATACTGGGTTACCGGAAAAGGTACTTAGTACGTTCAATCGCTACGGTTTTCTAGCATCCAGTAACCGCACTCATTTTTAGTTGCTGGTTTGTAAGCCAGTTTTTCAGAGTGAACGATACTACATGCTTACGAAGAACAATTTGGACAAAGTGGGATTTCAAATCATGAAATCGTGATTAAAATATGACTTCCTAAATCAAAATGTTTCAAACAAACTTCAGTAAAGTATCCAACATACCGCATACCAAATGTGGTCCTGCTAGATTTTCTTAACTTCACACTAAGGCGTTTCGAAAATCCGCTTCTGTACTACTAAAGCCTATGGAGGAATTAAATCAAGCATACTAACTAATAAGATAGTGTAACCCAATTGGGCATATATTTGTATCCTAGACTAACCTTAGCCACACTTGTGTGGGGACATATTACCAGGTTGCCGAGGGTAGTGGTCAGAGTGGGGTTCAAATTCGGAACCCATTGCTTGAAATTCAAGTTTCTGAGCCAATGAGTCACTCCACTTTATAAATAATTGCACTAACCGAATTCCTTGCCATCAAAGACACGTCGATATCCCACTTTCACTATAGTCCTTGACATGAAATCAACATTTGATCCCGTTGATTGAATAGTAACTAGTATGTGTATCATTATCCTTTTACTTGTCATCTCAGCTGATTGCGCTTGTGATGAGGGTGATGTCAACGGCGAGAGTGTTAGTATTTATTAGGGATATCTCTTTCAGTATCTTCATACTGTTCTACTGTTCAAAACGATTCTTACGTCTGAAAGCTTAATTATCGACATCTATAGATAAATTAATCAACAATGCATTGGCTGCACAACAATAACATAAAATGGTTAAATTAGAATTGAAATCTTTATAATCTTGTATGCTAAAGACAGTAAGCATGTTGAGTCCCGGGATTTCATTTGTTTCCAGCTCTCTGACCTTCATTTAATTACGGAGACAAACAAAATGTTTTAAATTCAATAAAGGGATAAAATTTTGTAAAACTGAAAGTGTGAAGATTGGTTTTGTTTGGTCGGTGTCTGTCAGCTTACCGTAGCCAGAAATCTACGTTATGAAGATTATTTCTGCTGTGAGCAGAATGGACCATTCATTTACACTTGCTGCTTTCATTATGCATAGCCTTATCACTTCGTGATAACAAACAAAATGTATGATTATTAAAACCCCCTATCACTCTACCACAATAGCCTAATAATAACTACTTTATCATCTTTGAAAACTCGGTAGGAGAAGTGTTGTGTAATATATGTGCCACACGTCATTAAACACATTTGTCTCAGTAGGACTTCTCAAAAGGAATTTTATTTCATACTTAATTTTGTAGGAAAGTGGACACGAAAATGGTAACTGGCGAATGAATGATGATATGCGCTCTATCGCGGTAAGTGGGTAGCCAGTATTTCCTACCGGTTTTTTCATCCTTACGAGTTGATGCTGTGCCAACTGTCAGATTTAGGAAAGCATTGATGCTCTTCATCGCAACGTATTGTTCAACCTTTCATGGTAATGTAACAAGTTTTTTGCCAAACTTGCAGCCAACTTGCGCATCTTAAGTGTCGACTAAATGTCATCAGTGTTATGTTTTTATCATTGTCTGTGTTATGGCAAGAATTGTAGATTTTTTGTAATCCCAATTTTTTTCTACACGATTCCTCTTGCATCTTATTTTCCATAACACAGGAAAGAGGTTCAAATCTTGGTGGTACCGGTCGTCGAAGTGGCAGCAGTCGTCAGCCTCTCAGTAAGTTTTTGAAAGGATTTACATGTAATTTGATTGAATGTTAAAATTTGTTGTACTAAGAAAACGAGGATGAGTATGAAACGTAATGGTCACTCAAGTAATTTTCTAAAATGTGTGCTAGATGATGTACTGAAGAAAGAAAGTTTGACAAGTTTTCATAGTGAAAACGGGTTTGTAGCAACCTTGAGGGTTTTAATTATGTTAACACAAAAGGATTCCATAATAATCGTTCATGTGACGTATTGTCTAATTATTCTATTCTCTGTAGTCCCTTTTCCGAATGCGAAGGATAACGTTGAATATATTGAAATGATTCTCGCAAATTTTATTGGTAGAATGAATTAAGAGTTAGTGAATTACTGGCAAGTAGTCTTCAGTACCACAAGAACTTTTGAGCAGTAGCACTTGAAGTCCTTCTGTATTACTTCAGTCTACGTTGTTGAGAAGTGTGACAAGTCAAACTACTGCATATTATTCCTTATTTCTCACTGAATTCAAGTGTGCTAACAATGCTGACATTGTGACTTGCATAGGAGTAAAACTTGGATACAGTGGTAGATTGTAGTTTCTATTTTTAGTTGGTTTATTAGGAATGTCACACAGTGAAAAAGTATCATGTACCTTTCGGACATAATTTATTGTCTGTAATCATATTCCTGATATTCACATTTTTTTATATGAATATAGACAATAAATTATGTCCGAAACGTTATCCAGTAAATGATACTGTTTCACGGTGTGACATTTCTAATAAACTAAAATTATGACTTGTAGTTTAGAGTCGGAGTACAAAATTGTTAATCTTCCGTTTTTGTAGATCTTAGTCCTCAACTTGGTTCTGGACACAATACAACTTACCCAACCACCTCAAGTGCACCTGCAGTTGGTACAGTTAGTGCAAATTCTGGGCGTCCACCTCAAGTAGGTTTGACTATTTATGCGTACCTAAAAATTTCATAAGTTTTAGGAGTAAAACTTATCTAAACTGTGTGCTTTCCATTATACACATAATTAACGTACCAGTTTTAATATGAGATGTTTAAGACTGATAATAGTTGTCGAATATCGATAATAGTGGTTTCCGTATTGTAAATCTCTCAGTCATTACAGTTAAGTGTGAACTGGTTATGTGATAGGATTTAACATTATTTACTCCGTCATGTGGATGTTTGTATGATAGACGCATTATACTTACTTCATCGAAGTGGAGAAATTTCGGCATGCCGTACTATGAATACCAACTGCTTACGATTCTTCTTACTAAAATTTGGTTACTAATGGTACCATGCGTTTTGTACGTTAGCAGTCTAGCTAAAGCGAGAGGGATGAAGAAGGCATCAGCGCTGAGTAACACTTGGCAACTATTTAGGCTGATTAGGGATACTGGCAAAAAGATGATGGTGAGTGGAACTATCACTGAAAAGGTTGGGACGCCGAAAACCTCTCAGGACAGTCAGCTAGAACGTTGGGAGAACACTTTAAAGCACAGTTCACATGGTCCACAGCAACATTGTTGCCCAACATTCTGTCTGAACCTGAATGGGACGTATATGTCGGTCCTCCAACTCTCCTTGAAGTTGAGAAAGCTGTGTCAAACCTGAAGCAATGCAAAACAGCAGGACCCGACAGTGTGCTACCTGAAGTTTTCAAGGATAGAGGTAGGAAATTGCTGATAAGAGTGACGGAGGTACTGTGTAGTGTGTGAGGATCGGAAGTAGTGATGTCAGACTGGTCTAGTTCATTGGTCATCCCAGTCTATAAGAAGGGGAGAAATCTTGTGATAACCATGGGGGAATTGGTTTGACTAATATTGTGTCCACTATCCTAGGGTCTATAGTTATCGGACGCCTAGCTGGAACTCAAGTACAGCAAACTCAGACCTGTTAGAGGGTGCATCAATGATTTCCGTCCTTTGACAGGTTGCGAAACGCAGGCATACCTACCGACATTAAATACTTGCCATATTTCTTGACTCAGTAGACCATGAAGTGTTGTGGCAGTGTGTGACTGCGAAGGGAGTACCGAGCACGTACATAACGGTTATCAGAGCTCTCCACTCGAACTCGGCCAACCGTGTTAGGGCTTATGGAGGGCTGTCAGGTGAGTTGGCAACAACTAGTGGTGTACGGCAGTGTTGTCCACTGTCACCGTCCTTATTTAACTTCGTCATAGATGTACCAATAGACATAACCCTATGTGCGTCTAACTTCATAGGGATTAATCTCCTTGGAAGTCATCTAGTTAATTTGGAATATGCAGACAATATTGTCCTGCTAGGTGAAGATGACGCAATTCAGGGTCTTATGAACGCGTTGGGCAGTAATCTGTTTGGCATGCGTTTCGCACCTGTTAAATACAAGACAATGCTCCAGGAATGGTCTGCTTCAGGGACTCTCGGTTTAGTGATGGTGAATGAAATGGTGGAATGTATCGACCACTTCACTTACTTGAGAAGTTGCATCGTCCCGAACAGGCTGGTTGCTGACGAAATCTCGGCTCGGATACAGAAGGGCCGATTAGCATTTCCCAAATTGCGTAACACGGCGTCGGTGAAATATCCGACTATCAAAGAACGAATATTCTCTATTTCAGTTCGTTCTGTCCTGTTGTACGGTTGTGTGACATGACCGTTAAAAGAAGACAACACGAAGTGGTTGCAGGGTTTTGATCATAGATATCTTCGTAGCATTACTCGCGAATGATGGAATTACTGTGAGCAATGTTGGGGTCAAGCGAAAGATACTAGGCAAACAAGACAGGCATGTCGGTTGATGAGGTCGTGAACCTTAGTCGACTGAAATGGCTTGAAAATGTACTGCGCATGTCGAACCACCACCTACCTCGATGTGCCTAGCTAGGAGAAGTTAGATTAAGTTGGAAGAGGTTTCATTGTCCAGATCAAGACCTGGAAAACCAGTCGATAAAGTTCCTGACTGTTAGCGTGAGCTGTGTGGGGGAGATGCAGACTGTCTAATTGGAAGGCTTGGGGTGAAAGGAATCAGTGGTTGAAAACACTTAGTGACAGCTGGAAATCGGTCACAATGGCGCAAATGTATTCACTCCTTATCTAAAGCTTCACATTCACATTACCTTTTGTCTTCAAACTGTTTATCCTCCCGCACTACTTTGTCTATTTTGACATCACTCTCTTTCTATCCACCTGTTCCCTGTGTACTTTTGTGAAGCATGGCAACTTGAGCCGCTGCACCTGTGTATGAGGTTCTACTTTGATTTTGTCAGTACGCTAAGTTTGGTGCAAACATGATCGGGTATACTGTGTTGTGACGTATTTTGCTATTTCTACCGGCTTGAGCTACATTAGCTTCTCAGCTTCGGATTGTAACTGTATTTACCTACTCTCAATTTGTTTGCTTGTCGTAAAACTATTATTTAAAGCTGAGGTTAGTACTTTATTGTTTATTGTTTCTTTTGAAATTATATCCACTTTTAAACTGTGTGATTTTTATTGTTGTTGCAGCCATTTACACGAAAGATTCTACATAGCACCACATTGGTTTGTCATGAGTATTACATTTAAAGGTCAAAAACAGTTTTGCTTGGGCTTTCAGTTTTTGAATACACCCTTAAGATTGGTCTTTTTAAAAATTTGCAGCTACAAAGAAAATCAAGTTTTTCTTAGGTTTTTAGTAAGTCTTGTTGTAACGTATTATAACGCTACTAAAGGTCGTATTCATTGGTTAAATCTCAATCAGGAATCTTCACGGGATTGTGTTGCAGGATAGTTTACTTCTTTTTCGGATTGATAATCTTACAAAAGCACTGGCCTTCTGAGTACCACCTCACTTCCCAGGCTGGGAAGCTATTTCAGTGACCACCAAGATCATTTCAAAGGTAGATGTAAAAAATCGCATGATCAGTTGTTGTTGATCATTTGGAGATCCCCACTTATCTGTGAGTGTAGTGGAGTTGTGACCCTTAAGTCCAGACAGTTTACTTTCAACCAGTAAGTGATAGATTCAAGCTGCACTCCATCTCCCGAAGTTTAGTGAACCAGGTAGTGTAACACCTTTGGCAGTAGGTTTTGGGAGAAGAGGTAAGTCAGTCGACGAGGTTGTGAACCTTCATCGACTGAGATGGTTGGGACACGTACTACGTATGCCTAGTCACCGATTGCCTCGTCACACAATGTTGGCTGAGGTGGGTTCAGGCTGGAAAAAGGCCCGAGGTGGCCAGACTAAAACATGGCTCCAATGTATGAAGTCTCTGACTGTTGGTTTAAGCCATGTAGGACGATGCAGACTAGGTGGTTGGGGTCCACGGGACAAGAGGAACCAGTGGTTGGAGACCCTAGGTGATATGGCTCAGAACCGAAGTCAGTGGCGCAGATGTATACACACATTATCCTCATCTTAACAACGCTATACCGAATCTCACTATTTTGTCACTCCTCTTTCCTTTCTTCTCATACTTTATATTTCTTTTGACTGCATTCACTTATCTTCATCCTTCACCTCACTACCTTTTTACTTGATGTGCTGATATGAGGTGTGGCAACTCGGACCGTTACGCAGTAATGCCTGGTCCTATGTTGATAGTGATGATGATGATGATTTGGTCATTGCGTGGTAAAGGTACACAGTGCGTAGTTGTTGTGTTTTTTTTTAATTGTTAGACCATGTGTCTGTATTCAGTGTTTCATTTTGCCCAGCATGTGAATAAATGGTGAGATGACCTAACCAAAAAAACCCGAGAAACATCTGTATTCATACTGAATTTCCTTACCGTATGCATTTTTGATATTCAGTCTGTTATATCTGTTTTATTCTTATCTTTCATGTTTTTGTAGACATCCGAAATTACACCTTCAACCCGATGGAAACAGTCATCCAAAAAGTTAGTTCGTTTTTGCACATTCAATAAACAAAAGCTAAAATTTAGACACATTGAGAATATTTCTTATAGACTGTCGTCAGTTTTCTTATCACTGGCGCACAGTAGCGGTGTACGTTATTTGGTTGGAAGTTGGTTTTCTTGTTGCCTAGTGTTCCATACAATACCCACCAGTTTTCCAAAAGAACCACATTTATATGTTTAATAGCATGTCACACAATTTAGATGAAGGCTAACATTGGTACATAACTGCTTGAATCCGTGAAACAAGTTTTATTACGGTTATCTGATGGTTGAAATTTACGTACGTGGACCTTTGAGGTCCCACAAATTGATTTTAGACTAACTGTTTATAGTGACTGGTCATTGCATAATAGATATTATTTCGCCTAGCTTCTGGTGCTGATTGAATTTTACTGATGTATCCTTCAAAGTGGCCATCAATTTAAAGGTTTGCACATAATTGCAATGTGTATCTGTCTACCTTTACATTTAGTTTTAGTACATGAATCTGTAAAGGAATCAGTGGTGATGAAAGCACTGAAAAGTGAACACATTAAAAACTTGACCGGTAACATTCGGTTAACGCTTAGGAAATAGGTACTGGATGCCTTACCACTTTCTTGTCAGTTACTTGGTGTTTTACATCTTCAAACTACCCTCATTTCGCTGCATATTTAATATCAAGTTCATATTATGCCAAAACGTTTTACTCTTTAGTTGTAATATGTCATGCCAAGTGTAGGGGGGATAGTCAAGTAGTTTCGTTGAATTTGCTGGGAAGTAAATAGTGAGTGTCAATTTAGCCATATTAAAGTAATTGGAATCAATATAGACCAGGGAAGTGGTTTATGGATTTGTCGAGTAGCTTGCACTATATTAACTAGAAAAACTACATTTGCAAACAGTCACACTTTTTTTCATATAAATTACTAGCGTAATTTAATTTTTAACTTTTAAACCACTCGGAAAATTGAGTTTTTAAAAGTTCGATCTTTTATCTTAAACTTTTTAAAATGAGTTCTGTATTTTCCCCAAGTATTTTCATGATTTTATCTTCTGTTGTAGTGTTCAATCTGGACCAGGTGCATATTCGTTCATTGTATTGCCTAATGGGCAAACTCGACCCTGTGCATTGGCTTCTGCCCCTGGAGCAACTACTGCTCAAGGTTTACCTCGCCGACTTCAGCACCTTGCCAGCTTACCACATGGTGACGTGGTTTGTGCTGTTACTTTAGGCCCTTGTCCAGTAGGACGTGCTTCCTCACTCGCTACAGCCGATGCCTGTCTTGGATCTCGCAACACTGGAAGTGATACAGACAGTGTTACTGTTGGTTCTCCAGGTTCAAATGCTATTGCGTCAGTTCCCACCCACTTTGCTTATACTGGTGCTCGAGGTAGCGTCAAATTATGGGACCTCGCGTCAATTAGTGCTAGCTCTGCAACTGCGCCCCTAACCAGTAGAGATATCTCTCCCCTCGCTACTTTTGATTGTTTATGCTACGATAGTTATGTCCGATCCATCAAGCTTTTCCCGGTGAGACATTTGTATTTGTTTGTGTTTGCATGCATGGTTTTCAAATAAAATCTAGTGATTATTTGATAACCATCTTTTGTGCATGTATTTCAGGATGTCACGGGACTCATAGTTGGTGGTGAATCTAATGCACTCACTGTTTGGGATTTGAACGGTCCTGGACGACGCAAGGCTGAATTAACGTTTGAAGCACCTGCATGCTATGCACTTGCTTTATCGCTTGACGGAAAGTTGGCGTACAGGTAATCTCAAGTTAAAGATTTTATTCTTAAACGATTTCCCCAGATTTCCACATCTCTGTTTGGTACTTATGAAAGAGGAACAAGGCAACAAATGTTTTGCTTACGGAAAGCTGTTCAATCTTTTAGGCCCACCTAGTTTTCAGGACTGCACCGCTACCCATCTAATACTGAAGTGCTACCGCCACATATTTGTCTCATTATTAGACAGTGTAGTAAAGACACCCATGCCGTCACTGGATTTTGTTTACTTTGAAGTAGGCCTCTTCTTTTGATCAGCTATTAGGACGAAAGCAGTTTAGTCTCTTTAACGCCATGCGTATTAAAATCCCAATTACTGGTATGATATCGAGTAGATAGGTAGACAAAGTCAACTTGGAATCTTGCGCAGAAAGACATCACTTCAAGTTACCACACTTCACAACAGCTTGAAAAGAGTAAGTGGGCAGAAAAAGAGTGATATTTAGGTAGACAAAAGTGTATGGAAAGAGAAGGAATTCGGAAAATGAAGGTTAGTGAAAATCTTCAAGATGTTAAAATGTGTATACATCTGTGTCGCGGTGACCAACTCCTAGCCATATCACCATGAGTCTCTAGCCATTGATTCCTGTCATCTTGAGGACTCCAAACCGAACAATCTGCAACTACATGGCTCATATCAACAGTCAGAGAGTTAATGGACTGGTGCCACATTTTGGTCTGACCACCTGGAGTCTTCTTCCAACCCAGTTCTACTTCGGTTAACGTTGTATGCTGAGGTAAGCAGTGGCTCACTGCTCAACACATGTTCAAGCCACCTTCGGTAAAGATTCACAACCTTACCGACTGACTTGTTTAATACTCTTCGTCTGACCTAGACATTACTCACATGGTAATCCTACCAGGGGTGAGAAATACTGCGAAGAAACCTGAAGTCGAAAACCTATGATCTCTTTGCGTCGTCTATTTTCGATGACTGTCTCATGGTAACATTAGGAAAGAGCGAACTACAGCGTAGTATACTCTCTTGATAGGTAATCGAATATCTCACCAACACCTGAGATGATGAATGTATCTTTTGAATTCGAGCTGACATTTCGTTGATGCAAATACCCAATTAGATGGAGTGGTCAACACATTCTGCCACTTCACTTCCTATCCTTAAACTGAGAGTAACATAATCTTGAAACGGACAGCATGCTAACCAGACTCAGATTTCTTACATTGATTTATCACAAGGGAGCGACCAATTTCATATTGTCTAGTCCTGTGAGTTGACCTAGTTTTATCGATCATTTTGCAATGCGGTCATCAAGCTGAGAGACTCAGCATCGCGGTGCACATTGATCGACTTCAGTTGGTGAAAGACAACCCATCGGAAGTCCTACCAGAGGTCAATCGCGGCCCGAATAGCTCAGTGGTAACGTCGCTGACTGCAACACTGGGGGGCGGCGGATTCGAATCTGAGAAAAAACGTCAGTCCTCTCGAGGTTACATATACACCTTGCTGTGGAGTGCCAACAGGCACAAAACATGAGCTAGGGGGGGCTTCCTGTCAGCTGCATCCCACCAATCAACATAGACTTGAATTTTTGCCCAAGTGCATTTTAATTCCATTTTAGTCTTTATTAGAAGTATGATGGTACATTTGTATGTTTCATTCTATATTAGTCCAACCATTATAATGTATGATTGCAATAGTTTTGTGATAAAAGGTGTAGACCTATCACTTGTTACCTTAGAAATCCGTATTTCACCCATGAAGTCAAGAATTTTAATTCCACTGTGCGTGCAAAAATCTGACCATTCAGGTAGCATCATTAGTCACCTAATACAGTATATGGTTCATAGGTCTATGCGTGCACCTTCATGTAACTACTGAGTCGCATTGTGTTATATATCACTGCTTAGTTATTGATTTTCTTTGTTCAGGATGTTTTTTCCTTTTTGTAAAAAATATGAATTATGTTTATCAACACTTGACATGCATAGAAGAAACTTATTTCGTCTCTTGCAACATATAACTTCCTTTCTGATGCAGTTTATTGAGTCGGCAAGTAACTTACGTGTACAGAGGTAAAGTTATAAGCTACATAACTCCAAACCAACACCTGTTGTATATTCGACTTGTTTATCTTGTTATTTAACTATAAGTTAGATCTCCGTTTTCCAATTAGATAAGTTCCCACTCACAGCGTTGCTGAAGTATATGCATATTTTTTTTTACAGTTGCTGTTCAGATGGTCAGGTTACTGTTTGGGATATACATAATCAAAGTATCGTTCATCAGTTTCATGGACATGTTGATGGTACATCATGTGTTGAAATCACTTCAGATGGTAACCGATTATGGACCGGTGGTTTGGATCATAAAGTGCGATGTTGGGATATTCGAGGGAATGTAAGTGAACAAAAATTTTTTAATCAGTAATCTGCATCATATTCCTTATACATTGCTGCTACCTACATACATTGTCTTCGTCTATAATTTACAGACAGTTGGGATTACTCCTAGCTTTAACAATTGTAGAGATGAAGTTTACGTTCAACGGTTCCTTCAAAATTGTCTCTCACTTGCTGCGTTCTCTGACAGGATATTGACAGTTAATTTGATTGGTGTGGCTTACTGATATTTACCCGGCTGTAGTTCTGTAGAATTTGATGTTTGACGAGCTTCAGTAATGAACTTGTCTGATATTTAAACTTCAAAATTTGAATGAGTCTACTTTTGAAAATTTTGAAAACAGGTTTTTAAAATAACTTTACATTGATTAGTCACTTGAGAGCAACCGATTCCATGTTGTTTAGTGCTGGGTTCTAACCAGATTCTGTTGGTCATTTTTCAATGTGGTCACCAAGTTAGGAGGCTCACTATTGTGGTGCACTTCTATGGATCTTAGTTGGTTGGAGGCAATTGATAGGAAGCTGTGCACCTAGATTTCGTGCTTGTTGGCAAGACGTATCTGCAACCACGAAAAAGCTGATCTCCTCTCTGAGAATTTGTACTCACATCATCCAATGTTTCAGTCAGCGACTTTACCACAGCTATTTATCATATGTTAGTCTTTTTAAAATTTTGTCCACGTTTTCAATTTTCTCTGATTTTTGCGTATAACGTGGTGACTCAAACAAGGGTATTTATGTTTCATGTTTATTGCTATTGTGGTTAGCCATAAGTGTGAAGTTACGACAGTTTTTTTCAAAAAAGTAACATATATCTCACTTGACAACTGTTACTGTCTGTCACTTCTTACTTTTTTAATGTTTGCACTGAGAAAACCTTTTAAGCATAGCAAACATTTTTCTAGTTTATGACGATGTGTGTGTATCAAAAAGCGTATATTTTTAAAATAAACGATTAAGATAGGTAACAGTAGCTCATTTCACAGTTTGTAGTTTTCCCGAGGGCTAGCCTAGTTATTGTTGATTTGGGAAACTTAAAATCTTATTTATCTATCGATCGTCATATCTTTCTGGGGTTATTTTCTTCACTCTCTCTTTCAATGTTGAAATGCTTGTCTTTGTAAATTATTCTTTTGTCTGTATTCAGGGATAGAAAAACTGATATTAATTGTTTTTTCATTCTCTGTTCCAACAGCCAATCATTCTACAATTCTGATTAATCATCCAGTTTGCCTACACTTTTTTTATTCCTTCTATGCAATTAAGTATTCGATTAAAAAAATTCCTGTGGATGATATTCATTTTATGTAGAGGATTATTTGTGTCACAAACAATCGTTTCAGTGTTTCCTTGACGTTATACTTATTCTAGAAACGAGTTTGTAAACCTTATCGTTTTCTTGTCTTTTTTATTTGTGACCAGTTTAAGATGAAGCTTGAACTTGTTGTTAGTTACTTTGAATACATTCATGCGAACATACATGACGTTCGTGTCAACTGTAAATATAATGCTTACTAGTTTGATAGAGAATAGATAAGCAGCATTTACTGTCTCTTAAGGTATCATTATTAGTTTAGATGGATTATCTTTTTTGTCCGTGATATAGTGTCATTAACTTTATTATCATTTCAAAATTCCCACCTTTATGTTGTTTCATCCAAAGTTCACTTTACTACGAGAAAATTATGACTATTCAAATGGCAAATGGTTTCTCCTCATCTTTATTGATGTTGTGTATCCATGATCGTCTTTACCTGTGTGTGTAGTTATATATATATATATATATATATATATATATATATATATATATATATATATATATATATATATATATGGTTGTTGCTATTATTATCATTACTGTTTTACAAAAAGTTGAAGATATTTTTCTTAACTACGAGATATTAATTAAAATTGGATTTCTGGTTCCTTGGTTTTATATTTTTGTTTTCGTGTTTATGTTTTGTCTTTGGTTGTCTACATAGAATACAGATGATTATAAGCCATGTTTACCCATATATGTGTGTATTAATTCAAGAGTGAAGGAAACTTAAAGCTACTTAATATTCATAACCATCTAGCAGTCTTATGGTCTGTTGATTTTTTGTGTCCTTGTATAGACACACAGATATGTGGAAATAAATCATTTCAATGTTTTTCTTATGTGAATTCGAAATTTAGTTAAATTAAATATTGGATGTTTTCCTTACCTTATGTGCTTATCTTTTTAATTATTTCATATGCTTTGAAAAAGTATGGATATTCAAACTATTACCAGGTAGAGATAGTTATTTCAGTGCATAATATTTATATGTTGCATTCCCTCCTGTCCCATACCTCTTGTTCATTATAAGTTCTTTCTAGCTTTTTTTGATTTCTTTCTGTGGATTTTTAGCTCATTGTGGTGAAGATGTATCCTCCAAGCGATGGTTACCGACTTCATGTCTCTCTTTTTGTAATTCAACCTGCATGATTGGGTGATGAACCTGCACAGCAAGTATGGTTCATGGTTTGCTAAATAAAGGTTTACTGGGTTAGGCAGCATTGTCATTCCTTTTTCTGTGCCACTGAAGGGTGGTACTATCGACCTATGAACTTTCTCATTGGTTTCGATACGCATTTAATATGTGTGGTAAACATACTTCCGCATATCAATTATTAACATGGCATAGAAAGTGTCCTTTCCAGCTGGCTGGTAGGATAGTTGTTACTGATTGTCCGTTCTGTGTGAACTGCAGTTGCTTGGCTGAGTTTTCACTTTAAACCACTTCTATCTACTAAACGGTATTAACATTCTTTTGAACACATGTGTATGTATATAAGAAAAAGTCTACGCAACGACCGCGAAAAGTGGTGGGGAATGAAGGCTAAAGAGATGGAAAAGGCAGCGGCGATCGGTAACAGTAAACAGTTATTTAGACTTATTAAGGAGACTGGGGTGAGACCATAGCGGAGAAAGACAGATCTGCGATTCACTCGCGGGGGAGACGACTGGAACGATAGGCAGAACACGTCGATGAACAGTTTAACTGGCCTCCAGCCACCATTACGTTGCCCGCTAGGCTCCCCTAACACTTGCAGAAGTCGAGAAAGCTGTAGGTAACCTGAAGCAACTAAGTGCGACTGAACCAGACGGACTAACTCCTGAGGTATACAAGGATGGTGGTAGTGTGCTGTTAGTCATGTTAACGGAAGTGTTAACCAGTATACGAGAATCAAATACGATCCCCTTTGACTGGTCTAGATCAATGATTATTCCAGTCTTTAAGAAAGGCGAGAAGTCCTCTTGTGATAACCACAGAGGAATCAGCTTGACGAACATAGTGTCCAAGATCCTAGGTTCTATAATCCGACGCCTGATTGGAACTCGGGAACAGCAAGCCCAAGAAAACCGGGGGACATTTAAACCTGACCGTGGATGTATCGGCCAAATATTCACACTGCACCAGATCCTGGGACATACACATGCTTACCAACGTCCGACAATAGCTGCATTTCTCGACCTGAAGATGGCGGCATTCGACTCCGTTGGTCTAGAAGTCTTATGGCAATGTCTCACTGAAAGGCGTGCGGAGTAAGTACATCACCTTATTGAAGGCTCTCTACTCAAACACCTGTTGGTGTGTTAGAGCCTATGGTGAGATGTTCAAGGAGCTATGCTCATCAAGTGGTGTTCGTCAAGAGTGTCCACTCTCTCCATTCTTATTCAATTTTATCATAGATATTCTTATGGAGTTCTCCCTCTAGTCACCTGACTACACAGAGGTTGACTTACTCGCGGAAGAATTTTCGTTAGACCTAGAATATGCAGATGACATAGTCCTGTTAGGTGAAGACGCCGACAAGATGCAGTCTTCTGGACACATTGAATGGCAATTTGAGAATGTTTGGGATGCGTTTCTCACCACCAGCACCAAATGCAAATTGTTACTCCAGGACTGGTTCTTAACGGTGCCCCATCGTGGCTAGCAGTGAACAGTGAGTGTAGTGGTTGAGTGTGTCAACGACTTCACTTACCTGGGAAGTAGGATCAGCACTCCCCAGGTGGCTCAGTGGCCGATGAAATCTCTGCACAAATACAAAAGACTCGGCTGGCTCTCACTAACTCCCGCCACCTATGGCACCGCCGAGATATCCGGTTGTCTATTAAGTGTCGCGTGTACTGCGCCTGCACAACAGTTTGCTCTGTTCTACTGTATGGCTGTGAAACATCGCCATTGAAGGTAGAAGACATGAGAAAGCTGACTTCAGGTGCTTAACCACCGTTGCCTTCATAGTGTAGGCCGTATTCTGTGGTGTCACTGTGTGGGTAACGCAGACGTTAGGTATAGAGTTTTAGAGAGTGGAGGTAAATCAGTTGACGAGGTTATGATCCTTCCTCGACTGAGATGGTTGGTACACGTGTTACGTTTGCCTAGTCGTCGATTGCCTCATCACACAATGTTGGCCGAAGTAGGTGCAGGGTGGAAAAAGGGCAGAGGTGACCAGACTTAAACACTGCATGAGTGTATGAAGTATGTGACTGTTGGTTTGAGCCATGTGGGGGTGGGGTGGAGGGGAATGCAGACTGGGTGGTTGGAGACTGACTCTAGGTGATATGGCTGAGAATCGATGTCAATGGAGCAGATGTATACACACATTATCCTCATCTTAACGACACTATATTGAATCTCACCATTTTGTCATTCTTTCTTTCTCTCTTTTCGTACTTTAAGTTTCTTTTGACTGAATTTTCTTATCTTCATCTTCGACTTCATTGCCTTTTTACTTGATGTGGTGATATGAGGTGTAGCAACTCGGACCGTTACGCAGTAATGCCTGGTCCTATGATGATCTGGGAACTTAATCGACAAATAGAATTATCTCGGCATCGTTTTTGCTATCTGACGTATATTTCATGTACCATCTTTCTGAGCGTAACAATCAGTGTATTTACCGTCCCTAGTACTACTAAGAATTTGTAGAACAATTGTATAACGTTATATGTTAACATAATACAACTTCCTGATGACTTCATAGATCTCATCGTTTTATCGTATGAAACGGTTAAAGTCACTCGAGGTTGTAATTTAATTTTTTGTGTTGTATGTAAAGATAATAATAAAAGGTTTTCTGAAATGATTGCTCTCCCGGTTACTCACTTTTTGGACCACCTTAGTATTGACTAAGTCCTGATTTTCGTTAGATAGCTTATATGCATCTTTTAGCGTTTCGAACTGTCGAATTTTCAGTGTGAAACCACCTGTCCAGCATGTTAAGCCTCGCATATCATGCAACATGCACCCACAGTTTGTTACTGTTTCTTCCTCGACAAGAACCAGCTGTGTTTATGTGCACTGTCTATTGAAGTTTAAATTCGGTTAAAACAATATTAGATATGCAGCCCAACTCTTTTCAAAAGTGCTTTCTAACTGTAGTTTGTTTATTTTGTAGCCTTCACGAGATATCTACCATATTGAGTTCAAATCACAAGTATTTTCACTTGGTTTATCTTCCCACGTAACTCCTACTCGTCGTCAAGCCGAGTCTGTTTCTCCAGTCTCAGTGGATGGCGAATCCACTTCCAGCGGTGGTGGAGCTGGAGGAGGTAATCGGGATGCAGCTAGTCCCCAATCATTTGTCAGCGGAAACGTCAAATTATCATCAAATGAAAGTTGGTTGGCGGTAGGTTTGGAGTCGTCTGAAGTGGAAGTTTTGGCTATTGGACCAGAAGGACCATCTGTATCCGCATGCTCTGGCAATTACAGTATGTCACATGAGGAATCTGGAAGTGGTAGTGGAAACCCCTCGCCTGTATCTCATCCTACTACATCCAACCAGCCGCAACATTTCCGTCTTACTCATCACGAAAGTTGTGTTCTTGCTTTAAGATTTGCCCACCATGCGGATTGGTTCCTTACAACAGGGAAAGATCATCAAGTCAATGCATGGCGTACGCCATATGGCGCTTGCCTTCTTGAAGTATGTGATTCCCCTTGGATTAATTGTTACTTGTTTTTGGTATCTTCATATAATATTCGCCTTACTGATACAAAGACGATTGTTACCTCCATATAATACTCTACAACAAAGCGCATTTACATTTTCTTTTCAGCTGATATCAACTGAGCTTACAATACATAAGCATTCATTTTTCACTTCATAGTTTATAATAGAAGGCCGCATTGTTAGTCTTTAGAGCATCATCCTGAAAGAATGTACAAAATGAGATTTTATACTACTACTTTATCACGGTACTTCCCTCTAGTCATACTGATTACATTTCCTAGGTCACAGATTATTTTTTAGGCATGAAAAAAAATACCCAAGTCGATTAAACAATATCTGGTAACTCCATATTACTATGTCAAAAGTAACTTTTCCTTTGAGTCAAGTAAGTACATAGCACCTCAGTTCATAATCATTCGAACACTACTTTTCCCATCAGTAATAGTAGTAATGAACAGGAATGATAGTTAACTGCATTTTTAACAAAGTTTGTGGTTTTCATAGCTAACAAGCCACCCTGTGTTTTACAGTTATGCTTATACATCTTACTATCTGAATCGCAGACTTTCTTTGTTAGACTATTTTGTGTTAGAAAGACTTGAAATCAAAAATAGGATTTCGTGAATTAAACTACTCATCTTTTTTCTGCAAGGAAATATCATCATACTAAAAATCAATACTTATTTCTCATTACGTGTTAAAGGTTTGTTAGACATAATGTATCACAAGCAATGATACTTTGTTTTTGAAGCTTTTTTTTGGAACGACTTATTTTCTTATTTCTACATTTTTGTTTAGACCAAGGAGGCTGCATCGGTTTTGACATGTGACATATCACTGGACGACAAATTTGTGGTTACAGGTTCTGGAGATAAGCGTGCAAATCTATATGAAGTTATTTTTACATCTCAACGATAAAGTAACATTCCTTAACTTTAATGGAGAACACTATTATATCTTATCTTGATAATCTGAAGACATTTATCTCGTGTAATTTTTCTCTCGCTTTATATGATCTATCACAGTAGTTTGATGTAAACTTATTTGATTACTTGTGTTTACTGTCTTTGTATTCTCACCTATTATTATTATTATCATCATTCTTTTATGTAACCGTGTTTTCTCCTCTTGTGATCATCATCGATTCTCATGATGACCTATCTGGACATATATTTTTGTTTCTTTTTAAACTGAAATATGCACAAAATACTTCTCATTTCCTCTATGGATACTTTTATTTATTATTCTTATTACAATTATCGTTGCTCACATCTTTAAAATGAGTAATCTTCATTTTTACACACAATTGACTATTTGAAACTGTTCGCATTTATTCAAAACAACATTAATCATACACTTTAGCCTATTTAACAGGTTTTGTATTCAGTCATTGAATTATGTGTGTAAACCATAATGGATGGTACATGAACTCACAAAAACATATAAGTGCATTTATACGTTCATTTTTAAACTTAACAAAATTTCCAGGAATTCCCCAGCTATACTATGTCTGTTTGTATCAAGGCATTGGTGTATTGTATATAAGTCTCTTATGATGTCATTTTGGGAAACTAAGGAATGCTTCCTCTTTTTTTGATTATAAGAAACCCTAAACATACTAGTTTGTGTTTTGTTTTCTTCCATATCATTAATTTACTTATTGTCGTGTTGACACATGTATCCACTTTATTCCGTTTTTATTTTCATTGCATTTATAGTGAGTTTTCTTACCACTTTCGTCGATAATAGGGGATTTTTATGGAATACACTTAATCCATTTTATCAGTCAGTGATTTCGGTTATTTCTACCCCTTCCTTTTATATATATATAATGTCCAATCCGGTCTCATTTTGAAGACATATCTCTTATGGTACATCATTTTATCCAAAGAATACCTTTTATAGTCCTATAGTTCTGTTATATTCTCCTATCCGTCCTCAGTTCAGTTTACATTTTTAATTGTCGATATATATATATACCTTAATTCGCTTTGTCGATGTCTTGTACCCGATCGTTGATGTAACTTTCACTTTTAAACCACTATGCTCATAGATTACTTAATGCTGTTAGGCAACAAAAATTACGAACTATATTCCGAAAAATATTGATTTGTAGAATGCATTAAGTAAAGCTGTCACATTGCTTCTTTGAAAATTGGTTTCCCTTAATTCTAACTTCATAGTAAATTTGTGTTTTCGTTGGCTATTTTCTTTTAAAGTGTGCAACTACTTTAATCTCTTATGAATTTCATTAATTCATCAAAGGTTTTCTATCTGGGCAGTTCATTTGAACTCTTGCAAGCGCTGTACATGACCTCAGACTATACCTATAGTCCAAGCTTAAAAAACTAACTGTTGATTTCCTCCTATTGCACGTCATAACTTCTCGCTTTTATGCCTTATGCATTATCAAATAACAGGTTTTGTCGGAAAAATCTTCAGCATCCCTTAAATATTATTACTAGACTTTTGTAGTCATTCACTTTGCACAACCAGTCTATTGAGGTCAAAGTTTCGGTGGTCATGTTCTGTGAGTATTTTGGGTTGTGGGGTGCAAAATAGGTGAGCGTCATCCTCGAAGTGGTAACATGTGTGTCACGCAGCCCTATTATTTGTCAATTAGGCGGAAACTCCTAAGTCAAGTTTGTTTTCATAGATCCGGCCTACAAACAGTAATTTTATTTTGATTAGTGTAGAGCATAAAGGCAATGTGAAGTAGCTCGTAGCTTAAATATACGAGGTACGTGTCCATCAGTTCATTTAAGATGGCTGGTTCACGTAACATGCAATCGGTCGCCTTCAAATCGATAACCGGCAGTCACATGCCAAGCGTTTCAGAATGGCGCTGGAGATAGTATGAGTGGTGTAAAGTTCTCCATTTTGATCATCATCAATATTAGTGACTGGCTGGTGAATTCACTGCGCGGTATTCGAATGATCCAATCAGAATGGCTGTCCACTGTGATTGCGCTTCACCAGTCACAGCCAGCAGTGGTTACAGTTTTAACATGGAGATAAGATTCACTTCTAACTAGTAATTTTACTGCTAGTCAAAGTTTGCGGGGGAATGAAGTCTGTGGTTGAGTCACGGGTTTGCTTTAAGGTGATGCAGTGAGTTATAGGTTGAGACCCTATTTCAACTTCAGTAGTGTGACCCATCCTCTCAATTGCCGGAAAACAGTATTTTTTTGAGTAAATGCGGAGCAACCAAAAGTATTTTGAGAACTCCGAGCAGACTACAGAGCTTAAGTGACTAACCATTAAGATTGATCGTGAAAACTATAATGTTTTCAACCTTCCTAACCATCCTGAACATGATATTACCATCAACTTTTCAGGTTCATCTGAAGTTAGAGAGGTATGATTCCTCTTAATAATCCGCAGACAGATTGACTTGTTCAACGCTGATGTCATCAAGGTTCTGTTTCACTTCCCTTGTTGTGACCCAGTAGTTTGTTTATTAGACTTCTGGTTGATTGGCCTACAAGTATGCAACTTACATCTACGAATTTCCACACAACTAAGTGGTATTACTAGCTTTCGCAAAATAGTGTGACCATTAGATTACTGCATGGATTGTACAGGAGTAAAGATTCATTTTATCGTTGCTGTTTTATGGAATCTCATTGGAAGTTTCGTCTAACTTGCGAGTACTTATGCTATTCGTCAAGTAAGTTTCATGCTTTTGTTATCCGCCTTTAGAAGTATTATTTTCGGCAGTCCAGTTTTACCTCTAACTTTTAGTAGGCAGGTCTGTTACACACATTTTCTCTGGCTGACTAAGCAAGCGGGTCAAAGCACGTGCGGTGTTTTGACTGAAAATAAGGCATAAATGGTTTATATTCCCTCATATGAGTGCATACATGTGCCTTACGCTTATTTAAATCATGTTTATAGGGATAGGAAACTACTAATGTTGGAAATGAGTTATACCCAAAGTATCTTAGTTCCATCCATTTCAAAAGTCTTAGCTTTTCTTGTAGCCTTTGAAAAGGTCTTATTGGTTAGACTATTACTCATGGGTAATTTTTTTGACATTCTGTTATAGAATTGATTCAACTATTAGCACCTAAATAAGCAGTACTGATAGTATCTATACTGGATGATGATTGAAGGTGAGATGAAAATGTGGACCGCTGCTGGATTCAGACCAGTATCAATAGAAATAAAATGAAATATTAAGATTATAACTTGCAATTAGTTATTTTTGAATAGACTTATTCTTTACTTCTCTATCCTTGAAAGATAGGTTATATCATAGTGGGTCATCAGATCGAAAAAATTTCTGATATATTTATTCTAAGCTAACGTACAGTTGCGTTCTTAAGGAAACATATCCAATAGATTTTGGTGTCAAAACGCTTGATTTAAAAATCCGAATGTATTTACATAAAATGATGGTGGTGTACCCTTTGTAGACTTTTTCACCAAACCGTGAATATCTGTTTCTAGGATGAGTCCCTGAGTAGTACCAGCAAAAGTACACTATTGGGGATCAACTCTAAAAGAAAAAAAATACCTCGTATTAGTTGGTAGGTTATTGAACGGATTATAAATCAATATGTAGGACTTATGAATGAAAACAAAGGAACCTAGAAAAATATTTCTAGTTCAGTGTACACTGCATTTACATAAGGCGTAGAAGTCAGCTGAGTTCCTTAGAACAGACTGCGCTTGTCAAAAGTAGCAGCAAATCTGGCTGTTATCAGATGAATACATCCACGAGAATTGTATTTTACTGACTTTGCTTTCAAGTATACTGTAAGTAGCGACAGTGATGGGTTACAGGTAAGACAAGATATTTGGATGGTTTTCTGAACAGATGGATTTCCCACCAAGTGTTCAAGTTAACAGACTAGAGAAAGTAGGTGTGGAGAGATATACGTTAAATTCAGTCAATGAAACAGTATCACCTGATATGAAGATATCTTTGAAATGAAAAATATGAAGTGAGACCTTAGATCAGAGTGATTGCATATTTCTTTTAAACACATTATTTTAGTTTGAGGCTACCGGCTGTCGATTCTTCACCTCAGCATAAGTGTTTTATCACCATTCATTGAATGGTTTGAGACAGCTATGTTGAGTACTTTGAAAGCCGAACGAACTAAGTTCATGAGATGCTAGAATATACAGGTGGAAGTATTTGTGTGTTCTCTCATCAGCTATGTTGGGTAATGTTGTCTGGGAGGAGAGAACGACCAACTTATTCACTAGACATGACCTAAATAGGCTTGTGTAGGCATTGATGTTCACCGCCTCATTAGCTTGTCGTTCGTATATTGAGACAGGAGAAGAAAATTTGAAATATGCAAAGTTAAATTGAGGGACCTTCGAATTCAAAGTTTGGTAAAAATAACCGGGGTTAGGTTAGAGTGTTACACGACCTTTCCATCCATATTTCAGTCGATTAGTCTACATGAGTAGTCATTACCTAGTAGTATTTGGAAAATATTTGATTAAGGGCATTGAATGCATGTATTTCTCATTACTGTAGAAGGAAAGTCAATCAGATTTACATTTTCCTGCTTAAGCGTAGCCAAATTTAAAAGCTGACCAGCTATCTGTTTTGTATAGGATTTCTGTAAATCGGTGTTAGTTGAGTCACCATCTAAGAAGGCCTTGACCTAGGTTTCATACTTTTTGCTCTTGTCAGCAAGGCATATCTTCGATCTTGACGGGAATGCTGTCTCACCTGAAATTCGAACGAGCGTCACGCAGTACTGAAGTCAGAGACATTACCACAGCGATTTTGACTGCAACTGACCTGTAGGTACATTGGTTAGTTACTGGAGGTTAACCAACTTCATGTAGTCCAGTCCTAAGTGCTGATCGAGTTCTATCGACCATTTTGCAATGCGTAACTGTAAATTTATTTGTGTAGGAAACTAAAAGAGGCATATTAAGTCTAAGTTTTC